AGCAAGTCTAATGGCTTGTTTGGGGTCCTTCCGTCATCCCTCTTTTTCATTTATATCTATTATTGTTATTGCAGCCAAAGATACAGCAGGAACACTGTTTTACAAATTTCAAATGAGTTTGATTTGATTATTCCAACGCTGCTGTCACTGCTTACATTCAACCAAAAACTACTTTCTGTAGTTGCAACGATATTTTTTTCTGAGCTTGAGGTCCTCTAAGCACTTATCCATTTCATTTAATGGGGCTTATCAATCATGGAAGAAGCTAAAGTTATATTACTGTGAAGCAAACAAATTTGTGGGTAAACATTGGGTAGGACTAATTGGTGTGCTCATTGCTCAGTTTGTTTCCGCTAACAATTGAGCTGGTCGCTTGGTCCGAGTACACTCTCACGTCCGGTCCGAGTACACTCTCACGTCCGGTCCGGGTATACTCTCACGTCCACAAAATACGCAAAATTACACCACGCCGCTTCAAGAAAGTTGCTTTTTATTAGTACCCGATATCAAAGTAAGTTGTTTCTGTTTAATATAGCGGGGAATCTGTGGTGCTTGGAAGTTAGGTAAGGTAAGGTAAGGTAAGGTAAGGTAAGGTAAGGTAAGGTAAGGTTCTATTAGGTTCTGTGCATTGTATCATTTTTATTACTATCATTCTCAGAACATCTGTGAAAAAATTAACGAAATCGAACCCGTTCTGATGTTAGCCATCTGCTCTAGGATTACCGAACAATCTGCCAGTGTGAGCTCATTCAAGACCAGACTTGACCAACCCAGATACATTCCGAAGCCAGTACTTGCCAGTTATGTATAACAGAGAACCAGTACAAGCCCAATACTTGCCAACAGTACGTAACGGGGACGCAACCGACCGCCCAAGTGGCTAACGAGACATTCAAGTCAGAATCATGAACACTGATCTAGAAGAACTGAGAAATGCAGAGACCTGACAGTTGTAGCATTAATATGACAAATTTTGTGACAAGAGGTACCGGTATGGCCAGCATAAGGTCAGAACCAAACAATGTGATGTAGTCGTAGCCAGAATTAGGTTAGGATACAGACACATCTGGCAAGTTAGTAACACTGTACCCATACCGGAACACTCAGCATGTAAACTTTGTGATAAACCTTTAAAGCATACACTTGAACACTATATTATTGAATGTGACACTGTCAAAGACTTCGGGCCACCTGACTTATTGTATCAAGAACTGTGTAATTACTACATTGAATCGGGGATGCTTGAGGACATTCTTGCTGTTTATCACAAATTTGCTAGCCCACATGACTGACCTATATATACTGTTAATAAAAATGATGCTTTTCTTTGTGTATGAACCCCTGTCCTGCGTGACAGTGAGAAGTGACATCACCCTCAGTGTCAAGACCGGACTGAATTACTCAGAATAGGCAAACTGTACTTCAAGCTTTGTCAATAAATTTGTTAAACTAAAAACGAAGAGGGTAAAGTAAATCATTTGACACTCGACCAGCTAAAATCAATAACAACTTTTTAAGTCCCAGAAATCGTAGTTAAACTGTTTAAGAGTAAGCAACTAACTACAGTACAGTATCGTAATTACTCCGCAAAAAGAACGGTACATTTTTGTTAAACCTATCTTTTTCTTGAGCAGTTTTGATGCTGAATACAGTGGTAGTGATAAAAGTCTTGGAAAACGCGTAATTATGGAGTTATGCTACCTGGCTCCGCCAAAAGTAGACTGGGCTTCGAAGCAGAGGGAAAAATGAAATTAAGAACAATCATAAAAAGGTCTAACCAAATATGATTGTACTCACTGGGTTATTAATACGTAAATACTTACATACAGTGTGCGCTCGTTATCCGCCACCGGCTTATAGTTTAGGCTCGTTTGGTGTAATGGCTAGTCTGGCGGAATATTAGCCAAAAACATTATTATTATAATGCGTAGCAAGAATTACACTTAATTTGATACTAAACTTAACCGTTTAAACTGTAAAGTGAGTACCATAAGCCTGACAGCCCAAGTGAAACTTGGGATACATCGTACGTAAGAGAATTGCTCAAACCGGCCGGCAACTATTTACTTAAATCGGCACTTATAACGCCGCAATTAAGCATGTTAAAGCACAATTATTAATTATATCGAAAGAATAACTATTTTTCTTGGTTACAATACATATACACGTCCGGGGTAAAATTTTAGACGGAAATCATGTTAACGAAACGAGAGGTTGCGGCTCTTACCTCCCAGAGTGAGCAGCTCCAGCCGGTGAGTGAAGAACGGACGAAAATAAGCATTCAGTTACATCACTTAAGCTTCAATGAAGCATTTGAAGCTTCGAAACACGAATACTTGTCATTGGTGTATGAGCCACAATTTTGAGGTTTTAAGTATTTTAATGAAACATCTTACGTAAGTGCTATCGTAAATTCACGACTTTTAACAAAATAATGGTGCATGGTCTCTCTCACTCTTCGTCTTACTCTCGTTAAGACGAAACTTCAGCACAAAATAACTTCGTATTGTTTTCAAATAATGAATAACCTCACTAAACCCAAGTTTATACAATAAATATTAACTTTATAGCATGTTTTATTATAAACAGCAGCATTGGGATAATAAAATAGAAAACATATATGAGTGATGTGTTGATTCTTTAATGAATTATGAGTTTTATTGTTTTTTTAATTATTAATGTCCCGACCTATATTAAATTTTTGGTTTCGTTGGTATTAAACACCTTAATGTAATACTTCATCACTGATCAACTTGTTACTCAAGGCCGCCGGTGATCAGGTAAGTATTAATCGGACATTAATGCCATGACACTTCATGGGTGTTATGTAAAACATAAATTATGATTACACTTTTTTTACTTACCAAATGGTACATCTTATTCTTTATACAGTACACCAGAATAATTTAAACCTCCATGAACAGCTGTCTATCTGTCGACCATCTGTGTGGATGACTGTCAGGAGCAGTTAGAACTGTTTGGTGGATGACTCTACCAAGGCTGCCGTGTCGGAAATTGCTTCTTCTAGTCTAGTCGGTTGAAAGAAAACGGACACGACGCCATCCAGCTATCGGAAATTTTGGAAATTGTTTGAAATTTAATTTTTGGCCTAAATACCAAATAATAATAAAATAAAACGAAATTATGTTATTGGTTTTATTACCCTATTTAAATACTACATCACACACACACACATTGTGTATATATATATATATATATATTATTGTTGAAATTATGACCGTTTGTTAAAACGTCATATTTAAAAGTTTACCCTGTATATGTGGACATTTTCTATGATAGACGATAAGGAGTAGCTTGACTAAGTTGGACAATGCCTTTAATTTTTAACTATTCTAATTTCAGGTTCCACTATCTACATAAAGGTTGCTCGTAAGGCCTGCCAGTGTTCATCGACACGGAGGGGATACTTTGTCAAATACAGTACTAAGCAAAGTCATCGCTTTCATTGGTGAACTTCACAAAAGTTTTGAGTTGTATGCAATGTCTTTGTCATATTTGCACATGTGAAATAGATAAACCTTTTCTAAAAATTCATATTTCTTTCAGGTGGTTCAGGGCTTGGAACTTGGAGGTCGTTTGTACAGTCCATTTCATTGCCACACTGGGGCTACTTTTTTTTATATGTACAACAAAACCGTCTCACTTATTGGAGAGTTTTTATATCATTTTTGTATACAGAGTATTGTTATGCAACTGAGTGCGACATTTGTGTAACCCAGTGATATAGAATTATCACCGCTATGTAATGTTTATTAACTTATTTGTTTATATTTGCAGGGTAACATGGTTTCCATGGCTAAATTTCAGCCTCATTGGACATCAAACCCAAAGTTTAATAACTGGTTAGCCCCCATGGAGGGGGGTTCCTCCAAGGCATTCTGTTGCACATGTAAATGCCCCATGAGTGCTGAATTGACAGCCTCAGACAATAATAAAACATTGTCAGGCATTGCATATGCGACCCTGCTATTTGCCTTCTTCATGGCTGAGCACCATATTCTACTGGCTGTGGCAGACCATTTGGTTGAACTGCAATGCCGCATGTTCCCCGATTCCCAAGTAAGTCAAATGATGGCACTCAAACGAATCAGGTGTACAGAGATTGTACGTAAAGTTGGGAAGTGGCTGAATGAGGAGCACGTCAACAAACTGAGGGCCAACAAATTCTCCATCATACTGGATGAGTCAACAGACATGATGGCAAAATCACACACTATCATTATCAGATATATCAACCAGGCAACCCAAGAAATTCAGTCAAACTTATTGGAACTCATTGACATGTATGATGGGCAAGACGTTGTGGGTTCAACCAGTGCAAATTTGGATCGACTGGTTATACAATGTCTAGAGGCCCATGGAATACCAAAGGAAAATTTAGTTGGGTTTGCTGGCAATGGAGCGTCAAATCTGATGGGCGAGAACAATCCCCTCACAAGCAGACTGAAGGAGGCAATGCCTGGCATTACCATCCTAAAATGTGTATGCCATTCTATACACCTCACAATCAGTGAAGCCACTAAGAGTCTGCTAAGGCACTGTGAGGACTTATTACTTAATATATATTCGTATTTTTCCCACAGTGCAAAGAGAAGACACGAATTCACCGAATTCCAGGTATTTTGCGAACTTAAGCCACATAAGATTTTACCATTAACCCAAACGAGGTGGCTAAGTTTTCATGATGCCGTGGCGAGGGTTTTAGAACAGTGGGTCCCCTTAAAGATGTATTTTAGACTCAGCCAAACTCAGCCAGCAGCAGCACCTGTTAAGAAATTTTCCAAAGGTCACCATAAAACTATTGAACATATTTGTTATAACTTTGTCAGGTTTCGAGTGTATATCTTGTGTCTGGTTTGAAAGAAGTCTATGTTGCTGGAGTTTTAAGACCAGGTTTTAAGATCAGGTTCTTACAGTTGAAAAAGTTTGAAGATCAGGCTAAATTATTCAAAGTTGGAATAATAGTAATATTCAATAAGTGAAATTGTTATGTACTGTAAAGTATATAAATTATGCAGGTACACAGGTCAGCATGAATACAGGACCTTTGTTCAGGCTATAAAATTTCCAGGGTTTTGAAATACCTGTAGCCAAATTGTGGGGTAAAAACACACAAAAATTAACAAATAAAACCAAAAAAAACCTGACCAGACCTAATATAATCTTACCTTTGTCTTGGCGATTGTGCGTCGTTTCATGAAAAACTAAATTGTGTTTATCTTCACGATATGGCAGTCTGCACCACACTCTGGACACTTAACCTAAGTTTGCACAACACCATGGGCCTTTTAAATGTCAATTGCAATGGCATTGACAAAAACATGTTGAATGGTTTGCAATTCCGAGAAAGAGCATCCCTTACACAGAGAAGCCATCTTTCAACTAACAAATTCCAAATGAAAGCTTCAGCATGCACAGGAATATAACATGATGCCGAGATTTCCGCTGATTGGCTGGACATATAATGAAGTGAGTAAGAAATCCACAATATATCCCAGAAACTTGTTAGTGTGAATTTAAAACCCTCCAAATTGTACCTTCTTAAATTAAATAAAAAAATCTAAATCCAGGTACCGTATCCCTTGCTATATGAATGTCCGAAGCTATTTGAAAAACAATTTGTTAAGTGAATATTTGTACTGTATATCAATTGATATGGGAAAAAATAAGATTTGGTTCCCCAATTTAGTCCGTAAGTACTATAATTTAGTAGAGGGAGAAAGAGGTGTAAGAACGTTCATGTAGCAAAAGACACCTGTGATTGGAAAAAAAATAGATGAAAACAGTAATTTAATTTATTTAGGCTCTATCTCTCTTTATTAAAATCAACATAGAGTTCCGTGGATGTAACCATCTATTATCTTACAAAATGACAAAAAATTGCCAAGACAAAGGTAAAGTTAAGTTAGGTAATGTTAGTTTTGATACGTAAGGTTAGGTTAGGTTGTTTTTTGCATGTTTTTATGACAAAATTTGGGTTAAATTGGTAAGGTTTTCATGACTTTGCCCACCTCTAAACCTAACCTTAACTGAACCTAACCACACCATAACTCATAAGAGAAAAACAATTCCTGTTAAGACAAAATTATACTGTATAATATAACCTCATCACTTAATCATTTACAGATTTTTATTAGGTTTCCTGAAGAGCAGACACCCCAGTTTAGTTCACTTGATGATTAAACACCCTAAAGCTACCTGGAGTTTTAGATTAGGTAAGGTAAGGTTATTATTAAGATACATATTTAAATTAACATGTACAGTTCCCTTCACTAGTGCATTTACAGAGGCTCATCATATAAACATTCCACAAATCATTATCTTTGAGATACTTGTTTCAATTTGATTCCATAGTATGTATACTATTGTGAGTTCCCTTCTGTTGAATGTAAACAAATACAGCACTGCCACACTGAACAAAATCTAAAAATCTGATGAACTGCTGACAAATGCACTAGTGAAGGGGACTGCACATGTACAGTAAAATAAGCTGGGATGTCTACTCTTCAGGTGATCCCTTCAATCCTCTCTCGTGTAAAATCTACACTATCTACAATTATACAAATCTTCAACTAAAACATATACCACTAAGTTAGTCCTTGACCTCTACAATTGATTCACTGGATTAAATTTTATCTTCACAACAGGAAATAAATTGTTGCTGCAAATAATACTGATTCAACATCCATACCAATAACCTGAGGAATCCCACAAGGGAGTATCCTAGGACCATTGATCTTTCTGTGTTATGTAAATGACATGTTTATTAGTGTCCTTCAGTGTCAGGTAAAGATCCAAATGAAATAGCTAATGAGTTGTCATCTGAACTAGTCATACAAACAATGGCTCATAGACAACAAATTGTCCCTACATCTTGGAATGACAGAAGCAATGTTATTTGAATCAAGAAGAAAACTCAAAAGAGCAAATAAATTCAATATACAGTAGAATCCTGGTTATCCAGTCTCCATGCAACCGGCATAGAATTGTAAGTTTGAATACCGCGCACAACAGGAATGAGCTGCCATATATACATGTATTATGATAAACAATAAAATGGATAAACTGTATAGCATATCACAAAATACAAAAGTATATATTTTATGAAAATAAATTAGCTCCTTTCATGCTCAAACCATCCTTTGGGGAACACAACACAGTTCAGGCAGGCACCTAGCTAACTCACAGACGTGTGGCTGTGTGTATGCCGTGAATTCACATCGAGAGGGAACGCGGCCACGCAGTTATTGTCCAGTAACTCACCGCCTCCACACACATTCACTTTCCATGAAAGATCTGTTTTGTTTATAAGAACTTATTTCCTTCTTGGTAGACCTATATCTTAACAACACCTCAATACTGTACTACAGGTACAAGCTTTCTTCTTGTGTGTCCAGGGAATGGGTCACCACATCTCACTGGTATACTGTACTAAAAACTGGTAATCTTATTATTCAAAGTCTTCCACCTAAGACAACAGCATTCTTCAATAAGAGAGGATACCCTACAAAAGTACATTTTATATTTTAAATGGGTTATATCTTACCTCTTTATTTAACCTTTCCACAAGAACATCGAAGCAGAACATTTAAATCAGCTCCAGAAAATTCATAAGCTCTCTTGGCCACCCTTGTAACCTCTTCTTTACTAAGGCTGTGGTGATGGGATGAAAGCAACTGGTGTAATATTTTGAGTCGTTGATGAGCATCTGGCAGTGGCATAATCAAAGTCCACCAGATCATCTCAACTTTTAGGTAATACTGCAACCAACAGCACTGGCTTTGAAGATGCCTGCAAACAAAACTCTTTATTTTTTATTTTTACAATATGGCACACAGTACAATATAGTACAGAACAGTACAGTATACTACAAAAAGAGCATCTGGAGGTGATAGAACTGACAACAATGGTCAAGTTTTGAAGACTATTTTCCTCTAGAGGACTGAGGAGAATAGTGAGAGGTGACTCACTGTCTCTTGTTTAAGAAATATGACAATGGTAAAAATTTACAAAATATTTTGTTTAATAACTCAGTATCACAAATTACCTTTACATAAGTATCTATGACACTCATAACTCTGGGGTAACAGCAAGTGTATCACCCCCATATTTGATGATCTATGCCACTGTAACCTGAGTACAATTAACCCTCACTTTACGCGGTTAATGTAACCCGGAGGGTCCCGCGTAAAGTGAGAAACGCGTAAAGTGAATAACATAACATATGGGATTAATTGAAATGGAGTCCGGGCCAATCCCCAAACTCCACTTTTTGACGACACACAACTATGTTGTAGTAAAAATATTATCTTAACTTTATGATGGTATGCACACACAATTAATAATTAAGAGAAATATCAATAATATTAGGTTTTTTAACACTTACATTAGTAGAAAAAATGGCTGGGCACACGGGGATGGGCGGTTGGTTCCGAGGCAGAGGGCAGATTATTGGCCCTCACCTGTGTCACTTGTATCAATTGTATCACTATCCACCACAGAGGCTTGCAGGGCCTCTTTGTCAAACTCCCCAAAGTCCATATAAGTCCATATCCTCACCATAATTATCACTATCACTGACTTGGGCCGGCTGTGGTGGGTGGCGGGTGAAGAACTGGTAATGTTTTGATGACTGGGCGACCTTGTGCGCACCATGTTCGCGCAGCTTACACAACATGGCGGATGGCGGGAGGTTTGGATCCAAAAATGGCGCGGCTCTCCGCGTAAAGGGGTACACGCACAGCGGAATGTGAGCATCCTGGGTTCCGGCAGGGCACCGCGTAAACGTGGAAACGCGGAATGTGGGACCGCGTAAAGTGAGGGTTAACTGTACAGTAGCTAAGCCTGTGGTTGCCTTATAGAGGTTGTACAGTTATAAACAGCACACATATAGGCACCCCTCACTTTATGAATGGGTTAGGTTACTGAATAACTATTCGCTAAGTGATCTTTCGTATATACTGTACTGTAGTGAATAAAAGAACATCTAGGAAAAAGTATGGTTCGGTTCCCAAAGAGAAGAAAACCCTAATATCATACCTCAAAAACATGAAATCAGTTCCTGAAAAAAAAAAGAACACCCTACCTAACTCATGATAAATAGTACAGTACACAACTACTGCAATTTACTACCAAGCACATTAAAAATATTAATAAAATACTATCCAGATCAAAATATGCAGCTAAAACCATTAAGGAAAATCTAAACCTAAATTTAACACAGCCATTTGAGTCACTCGTTGCCACCCTCAAGCTTCGTCATTACATCCTCGCCCGGCTGGGGAGGCTCCCCATCCCACTCTCGCACCCAAAGAAATGTTTATCCCTTTATATTTTTGACCTTATGATAGTTATTGATTTTACTTTTTGCACATTATGTATGTTGGATTGTGTGTCCATGGAACTGGTCTAAAAAAAAAATGCAGAAAGTTAGGTTTATCTACCCGAAATTGAGTTGAAAAATAACCATAATATAACTTCCCCTCAGCTCATTTTGCTAACTCGCACTGGCATATGATGAACTTTTAATATCCTTTATGTACTACAGTATTCTTGTACTTTTGGGGCAAAGAAAGTTATATTGCTACCAACATAATAACATTAAAAAAAATGTTGATCCATCATTGATTTTACATTAAAAAAAAATTTAAGTGGTCTTAATACATCACCCTCGTTCAAACGAAATATCATACATAGGGAAATTGTAAATCAGAGGATACCTTATCTAACTGGGGGGACAAAGTGGTAAATACAGTACTGTATAAAAAAAAGTGGGACACGTAAGCCTAAAATTAGGTGAGCTGAGGCAGTGTACATAGTGGTGGACCCTCATGCACTGTGACTGATCAAAATGGGTGGTGTGACTAAGCTAAACTGGTCTCTTGTCAATACTGTACTGTACAGTATCCCTCTGCAGCCAAGAAAATATGATATAAAAAAAATAGAAAAAATTCAAACCTCAGCAACTTGTATGCAGTTTACACATCACCAAAAGCTACTCATAAGTATTTAACCTTTCATCTTACTCTTGTGGGGTAATGTGACATGTCCAATCTGCACGGTCTCATCAGGGATGACGAGGAATACACAGGAGGTGCTACCAAACTTCACCTCCACGAGAGTAGAAGCACACAGGTTGCAGAGAATTAAGTCTCGCCCATTCTTCACAAATATTCGGTAACAGAAGCCATAAAAGATCTTCTTCAGCCAATCTGGAGAATAAATGATAAATTGGAAGGAAGAATCATAGTGCACCATATCTATTACAACAATGAGAATGAAATTAAATAATGAAGAATATACCTGTGTGTGAGTGTGTGTGAGTGTGTGTGTGTGTGTGCATGTGCGCATGTGTGTGAGAGTTTATTTCCCTCCACCTTGCATTGAATGGGGAAAAAATATTACATGTAGCAATGTAAGCTGGCTGCTTCCTCCCACTAATACATAGAGCTATCACTAATACAGCAGTACTTTATGGTATTTATCTCTTTCCTTTCAAAGCCAAGTCATGTACAGTTGGTTCCACTCCTGCATTTACCACTCCTTGTGGTGTGAACCCCGAACCCTGAGGAGAGAAACTGAAGCATTCACTAGTGAGTGGGAGGGAGAGTGGAGGGGTGTATCAGGGTTGGTCTTTTTTTTGTGAGGGTGAGACGGAGTACTAGGTGGTGTGGAGGGAAAGTGTATATCAGTTAGGAGATTACAATGCAGAATAACGTTTAGGAAATAGGGGTTTTGTCAGATGAGTGTAATAGTCTAGTGCTAGTCAGATGAAAATACTATACTGTACTATATACACTTGGATGAGAGGGGGATGAATTCATGTTCTAAGTAAGGAACTACTTGGCAAAACGGGGCATTTATGAGCAAATGGATTATGGATATGTTTGAATCTATGTCATGTAGAAGCAGCAAAGTTTTGTTTAATCCCTTGACTACGAGATAGAATTTCCCAAGCTGAATAAAATCGTCTGGTGGTAGCCAGAATAAAATGGATAACAAGACATTATAGTGAAGGGATTAATTACCAATCAAAACAATAAGTAAGTGGGCACCATATATTTATTGTAATACAAAATTGATGTGAACAAAAATAGGCGAGTTGGCAGCTGTCCAGTATAGAATCAGCAAACCACAGTTCACTTGTGCCATACTATTGTAACTTTATTATTTTCATTTGACTAGAGCTAGATGATTACTCAGCTGAGGAAACCCCATCTGTACAATCTATCTATTCCGACAACAATGTGTCCTCTTGAAGCATTGGACCAGTGAATATTTGGGAAGACTGGACTGATATCTCTTTTTTTGGTCTTGATGTGCTGAAGAAGAAAAAACTTGGCATAACATATATTTTCTGAATAGAGGAACGGCTGCCTGTAAGTTGTAGTTAAATAAGACATTAAGAGCAAAAACTAAAAGCACCTACCTGGCTCTTCCAGTTGATTTTGTTACCATCTATAATTGAGAGTTTCTTGAAGCCTTTATGACCCTCTTTGTTCCTCTCAGTTCCTTCCTTTTTTACTGTTTTTCTTTTCTTGGTTTCCATTTCCTCCTTCCTTTTCTTAAGTGATAATTGAACTGCTCCAGTTGTTATTATTTGACCATATAATGAAGACCCTTAAAACATAAAACTGTGTGAGATGGAGGTACAGTACAGTAAGTATTAATACTAAACTTACTGACAACCTTTATGATAAAAACAGATATACAGTAAAGTATATAACTAATAAATATTGTCAGAATTTATCAAAGTTACTAAACATTGTGATATACAGTAAACAGTGTAATTCATCAGGCTAAATTGAGACAATTCTATGTCAACATACAGAATGAACTTTATCTAAAATAATTAAAAACATTATATATTTGCATGAAGCAGATATTGAAAACAAATTACAGAATAATTACCAAGACTTTACACTAAATTAGTTGTCTACCAGGAATATAGATAACCTTAGTACAAGGTATATATTATTCAAAGACCCCATCCTTTACTTACCCTAACTTGCAAAGTATTGTACCATTTATCAGTCATACACACCAGTGGCAGACCAACTTACCGACTACATACTTATGAGAAAATGACATGAGCCTTAATTCATGACACTCAGCTGTATGAATTTCTTCAGCATAATTTGGCACCCAGACATTGCGCTTTAAGCAAGGAAAATAGGAATCTGCATCCAACATCCACCCCATTTCCTGAAATTTGCACATGTGATTAGACTTACAGAGTTACAGTACAGTACTGTACTACTAAAATATCTTAACTGTTATCGGTTTCAAATATACATTAAAGTATTTCTGACAACAGATGAAATGAACCAACAGAACCTAACCTACATTCATCCAGCCTAATGGTCTTAAGTTATGCTTTCATAAGGTTGAGTTTGGTTGACTCACTTGGTTTGTCTCGAATTATTTAGCTCCACTGTCTCCAACATCTGCACACACACACTACTTACAGTACTTACTTTGCTGTCACTCGGAATCAAATATGATGATCATCCAACTATTATACTTTTATTCTACTTGTTTCCAACATTTCTAATTGTACATTTGAATAGGCATGAAATTACACGAGAAACAACTACCATATATAAGGAGGGAGTTACTAGATGGGTGCTACTGGACAATTAAGGTCACAACAAAATAACAATGGCTAGTAAGATGTGGTAAAATGATAAATTAAACTGTAATTTAACAGTCACTACTTATGAACCAATAACCAAGAACTTACTTTTTCCTGTCTTTTGGGAATAAATGAAACCTTAGCTCCCTTGTTTCCCCACAGCCAGCACAACAGTGTAGCCATGTACCGCCACCTGCGTCACCCAGCTGTAATGTAAACAAACAACCGTCAGGTCACTAAAGTTGACACCAATGTTGCCGCAGTTTGCAAAATTGAAATATATGTAAATTTACTGCAAAATATATGTAGAAAATCTGAATATTATGAAGCAATATCTGTAGAATCATATGTAGTCTTTTTACAGTAGAAATATGATACTTCTTACTTTGTTTTCAGTTTTCTTTAACCTGATAGAGGAGTAACTTAAACAAATCTGTTTTTCTTTCGTTTTACTTCACTGAAATATTTTTATAGACATCACTGAAAAACCATACAGCTAGAAGGACATATATATATATATATATATATATATATATATATATATATATATATATATATATATATATATATATATATAGTCAAACATATTTTTTTATTATTATTACCATGAATTATTATGCACTGTATGAGGCATATCGTACAAGAGTAAAAGTTATTGTATGATACCAGTATATAATCTTAATTAAGCATAAGATACTCAAACAAAGCATTTTGCTGAATAAAGACTTTAATACATAGAATAAAATGAGTGATGCAGTCCACAAATATGATAATTTTATAGCAGTGTAGGGCTGTCAGTAGCATTCTAATTAATTAAAACACTTAGAAAGTGTATACATATTTGTCATCTTGTGCATTAGCTTGCTGTGCTCTTTTCAGCAGTGTTTGTGTTACTGGGAATTTAAAGCATGCTGAAGAGGATAAAGGTAAAAGTAAAGGTATACCTTTGATCAGTTGCTTTGTATGGAGGAGGCCTGTACAGTAGTGTTTCTCTGGGTAAACTATTCCTAGATTTAGTTTTCATCCTATTTATTGATGAAAACACACTCTCCACTGTCGCACTTGAGTGAGGTAGGCACAAGAGAGTTTGTATGAAATTGGAGGGACCTGGAAACAGAAAGTATTATCAATTTGTCTTGTTGGGTGGCCGCACGCTCATGGGTTGGAAAGGCGCGCAATTCAAATGTCAAAACATCAGAACCCGGAGTAAATGGTATAATTGGGAGGCGACAATTAAAAATATCGCTGGATTTTGTTGAGAAAACGTATTTTCTTATTTACTAAGTTATTTAAGTTAGTATTGTTTATATAAGATTTATTGGTTATACTGTATACAAATGATAAATCCTATGATCACAAAAATTCTGTAGCTATGACCGATTTGAAGGAAAAAATCTGAAAATCTGATTAGACATGGTAAATCTGTAGATCTACAAATAATTCTGTAGAAACGGCACCACTGGTTGACACCAGCCAAGGGCCCAAGGCACCCATAAAGCACCATCTCTAGGACAATCATCCAACTAATAGTGGTTGACCTCTCGTAAGATTAACAGTTCCTAGTGATATTCCTTGGTCACAACTTTGTGCCACCATACATATCACAAACCTCAAGTTGCGACCAACTCTGGGAGATATTTTTGAGTATCCAGCTGGATATTATTTTAGTTTCGGTCATCCGGTTGGGTTAGATATAGTTCCTGGATTCTGTGGCTAGGTTAGATTAGGTTAGATATCTAAATATAGGGAAGACCGAAACTAAAATTTACCTCCAGCTGAGGTATCGTCATAGCAAAATAATAATAATATTTATCATTATCATTCACCTTCCAATAATTATATACAATCTTCAAATACCTTTATTCTACACATTTGAATACACGCCTGTAGTGCCCCGCCCCTTGAAAAAATGCCGTGATGTACTGTAGGAAGTCAGGCGAAAATTCATACCTTACTTATACCGGCTTGGGTCAATCCTGTGGTATCTCCAATTGCAATTAGAAAACTTCCACTGCTGTAGAAGCGTCAGATCTTCTTGTTCGGCGTTCTATAGGTGGTCCGATCTACTCACACAACCGTATAATTTCTTGGCAATGAAATCGATAGTAACAAATTTAATGTTCTTCACTAACATACATCCAGCGGATTCCTGTACCTTCTTTCCCTGCGCAGGACACAACCAAACACATCTGGTGCTACTCTACTAACTCCATCAACACCACACTCGGTGTCGCCACAACACTCTCTGGCAGATTCAAGGAATATTCCTTGGGCAGTGTGTTCCTAGAGTCTACGCTTCTCACTCCGAAAAAGTTTGCCCTTACAGTTTTCTGGGCTTGTGGCGTCTGCTAGCTCCAGGTATGGGCACTCGACTGAGTAATACACTCTCAGATATTCATAAACTTCAATTAGGTCACCCCTTGCACACCTATAGTATAAGCTAGGCAGTAGCAGGCGTTCTAATCTCTCAGGATAACTGAGGTGCCGTAGTGCAGGCGCCAGTCTGGTGGCCTTCCTTTGGACATTTTCAATCAAGTGACAGTCTCTAGCATATCTCTGGGAGATAACGTCGGTCATCGTAACTAATACTCCGACCAAAATGGTTAAATGACTGAGTGTGTTACCTCTGCAGGTACTATGTATAGCTTCAGCAGTCATTACATGTAAAGGTGTCCTACACCTCCCATTTTGAACCATATGAGTGCAGTAAATTTGCGTTGTGATCAAGGAAAAGAACCTCTTTACTGTATATCCCCGCTCTTGTGGGAACATGTGAAGCTGAATGTTACGTCCAAGTTTTATTCTTTTAATTATTCATTAATTGTCTAAACTATTTCTCTGGATCCACACTTTTTTTTTTTTACTGAGATTAGCCCACCCGGGCACAGGTCATTGACCCACATCAGGGCCTGGGGGGCGAAAATATAATAATAATAATAATAATAATAATAATAATAATAATAATAATAATAATAATAATAATAATAATAATAATAATAATAATAATAATAATAATAATAATAATAATAATAATAATAATAATAATAATAACAACAACAATAACAATAATGTACTGCACAGTACAGTAGGAGGGAAGTGCTCGCATCTCAAACGTGGAAAGTAATGTTATAAAAAATTGATTTTTTTCATTGATTTGTCAAGTGTGTAAATAACATACAGCGTAATATTATGGGGCCGAGTTTCTGTGCTCCAGTTTGTTAAGCTAATTTCATACTTCTTTGTTTGTGAGTCATTGGCAATAAAATAAATCCAGCCCCTTCTCCACCCAGGCCACCAGAGTACTATGATAGAACTGTACTATAATATGGTCTTGTGTTGACCCTTTAGTACACGTGTTCTGTTAACAGTGCAGCTGCTCTGACGACATCTCTATCAGCTATAAAATTATTGCAATACAGTCATATGCTTCGTAGCCTTACTATATATCAGGATTAACACCAACTAATAATTAAATTGCTTTTAATAATGAGCATGGCGAAGTTTTGAGTTAGAGAGACGTCTTATATATCTGCTTATCAGTCGCACCGGAAACCCTCAGTACATCACACTCCCGGCCTGTCCTCACCACCACGCCTCTAACACAACTCTCTAGGAAGTAGGAACTCACGAAAGGTTAGGTAATCGTATGTTCAGGAGTCATGTCACGCGGGCTATGATGTCTGCCATATTCTGTCATGGATTTAACTTCAGTCTGACAAAGGTTAAGGTACAGGTTATTATCTTTGTATGGGATTCGTAACATTCCTTGTAATAACGTCCATCACTCAGTTTAACTCAGGATCCGTTATGTTTTGTCATGAAAGCGTGTCACGTGTTTGGCTGTGGCGAGGTTTCTCAAAGTACCGAGAGGGGAATCATAAAGTGTGAGACGTTTGATACTAAAACTTCCATAACACCAACAACTTTATGAAATCTGGTGGGGCACGTCCTGCGGCCTGCCATAACTTCTTCCACACAGCCTCTTAATACTCGAGAATTCCACTGATGCAACGTCTGTAGAAGAACATCATCAATCACTCCTGTAGAGGAAATCGTCAAGTCGAATGTCATAATGTCACAAGTGTGTCACAGCACTATATATCTAAGTGTCACATCAGCTGATACTGGGACTGTGAATCACCGGATGGCTACTTGTAAACACACGCCAAGGTCTCCAAGGAACACAAAAAGTATTACAGTATATATCACAGGTCTCTATTCTTCTGGCTCCTACTGATCATTTTACTTGATTATTTATCTCTCTCTCTCTCTTTCTCTACTTTATTTCCTCTATTTATTTTTCTCGTTTATCTGATCCTTTCCTCGATCATTTAAGTAAGTTTTTCTTCATCCTCTTTAACTCGTGGCACTGCAGCACGACAACCTGACTAAGTTGGCCCGGAGTCTCATGACAGCACTTGGTTGGTTATTCATGCAACAACAAGTGTGTGATCTGAGTCAGTGGTAATCCCAGCTCACGACTGAACTGACTTTTACCAATGACCCTGAGAGACTTTTTCCAAGCACAGAGTCAGATTCCTAACTCTTTAAACTACCATAAATAAAGATAAATCCACCATACCTTCACTCTTTTCTCTATTTAAAACAACTAATTCAGATTATTTTTTACTTTAGCCTCCACGCCAACATATCTTTTTATTGTAGGTTCAGAGTTTTACCAAGTCCATATTGTACTTCTTCCAACCTGAACATTTTATATCCGATCAGGTCCCCTTGTTACTGTCACCCACCGTGAATAACATTATTATGATCTGGCCAAGTTCAAAGTACTTCTCACTAGAAATTGTGCACTTCATGAAAACGACAATCATGATGGTTTGTTTTTATTATGCTGTTAGAGAGCTTCAACAACTCTTTAAGCGCGTCGCAAGGTTATAAATTACGCTATTCCAACAACAATTAAAAATTTTAAGAGATAAAACTTTCAAGGTTCTTCATATCTCTATTCGTCTTACTGTAGAAAGTCAACACCTTTAATATTTCAAGTCTCCGAAATTTTAACACGATAAGCCACTCGCGAAAACTAGGCCTGTCTCAGCGAAACTTCGTCAATAATTCTGACGCGCATACCTCACTGCAACCTATTAACCCGTAAATAAAAATAACAGCATGTTGCTTTCTTAAAAATATTCCCAGGATTTATACCTATGTTACATTGTGTTTTTTCTATGAATTTAAACATTATGATAATACAAAATCCACTGGAAGTATCGTGGAGAAACACACACTCAAGACAAGCATCGAGCGGAACGAAGGACGTCTCTGGCTACCAACCCACCGACCCCATCCTCCTCCACCCCTTGGCTCCATCCTTGACGCACAGAAATTATAGCAGAGTTCATTCGCCTTACCTCTTACCTTGGTCCAACTGCATATTCAGGTATGAAACTTCAATGTGCTGATATGATAGACCAAAGTTTAAGTTCAGTACACTTACAAACTAAGCTCAAATATCAAAGAACTTTAACGCAATTTCAGCAGTGTCAAATACATTCTTAGGTCTATGGACAATTATAACTATAGAAATTATAAAGACCGTTCCCTCTCCCTCTTTTGTGTATGTGAACGAGAATAAACCAAGGCAGCTTCTAGAGGACTACAGTTCAGTGACAAAATTCATATGTGAACCGTGGCCAATAAAAATTCAAAGCTCTTCCAGGATCCTTCTTACCCTTGCCAATGTCCTTTCTGCCCACATCCTCAAGGTTGTCAACAAGAACATATATTTTTACAGGACATTTCTCATTTATATTTTACCACCAAGGAGTATAAGGTAATCTCCACAAAGTGTACCTAAGGAGTGTAATCATTGTCAAATATAATAAATGATTTCTAATGTTCCCAGTCTTACACACACACACACACACACACACACACACACACACACACACACACACACACACACACACACACACACACACACACACACACACACACCCTAAGTATCATAATTAAGTTTCGTAATATTTCTAGCACCTGAATAACAAACAAACGTAAAACATACATCGTTAAGTAAATCCCTAAATTGCGTCTGTATAGTTAATCACCTTCAAAGACTTCAAGGCTGTGTGGGACTACGAGAATAA